TCTGGATGAAGTACCCAGCCCCTGCTGTTGTAGGCCTCTGAGGAGTGAATCAGCAAATGGGAGATCTCTCTCTCCCTCTCTGCCATTCTGCCTTTCAAATAAGTACTTTTTTTTTTTTTTAAGATTTTTATTTTATTTATTTGAGAGGTAGAGTTACAGATAGTGAGAGGGAAAGACAGAGAAAGGTCTTCCGTCCACTGGTTCACTCCCCAAATGGCCGCAACGGCCGGAGCTACACTGATCCAAAGCCAGAAGCCTCCTCTGGGTCTCCCATGTGGGTGCAGGGGCCCAAGGACCCCGGGCCATATTCCACTGCTTTCCCAGGCCATAGCAGACAGCTGGATTGGAAGAGGAGCAGCTGGGACTAGAACCGGCACCCATATGGAATGCTGATGCTGCAGGCGGAGGATTAACCTACTGCACCACAGCGCCGGTCCCTCAAATAATGTGCTTTTAAAAAATAATAAATCTCTTTACCTCGGATACACATTTGGATCCCTGGAGAGCTGTAGAAAAAAAAAAATCTGAGTCTTGGAACCAATCCCCTTGGATACTGTAATCATTAACTCATTTATTCCTTATGACAACTCAGTGAAGTGGGTTCCTATTTTTATCCTCACTTTTGCAGGTGGGCAGATGAAGATACAGACAGGTTAGGTTACTTCAGATCACATAGGTGGTGGAACTAGAAATCCGATCCAAGCCGTCTGGCCTCAGAAGTTGTCACCCTAGGTTATTTGACATCTTTGAAAGGACTCTCAGTACCCTGAGGAAAGTCAACAACAACAACAAAAAACACCAGACAATGGTACTATATAGGCAACAGATAAGGAGAAGAGTACTGAAAGGAAGTTGCTGTCCTGGGGTTACCTAGAAAGTGATGAAATTTATAAGAAGGCAAACTGGTTGGGACAGGCAATCTGCTAATCACAGACATTCAGATTTAATCAGTTTTGGAAGCTTTCCAGTGGATTCTAGTATGTCTAGGAATAAACACAGAAATCTGGGGAATGTTTTGGTTTAGACAAAGAATGAACCTGAATTTCATCTCAAAGATACCAATCATCTATGGAGTTGTTCTCACAGGGACAGGCAATAAATATGTATATCTATTATTACAACACATTTCCAAACCTTGTATATTTTGTCTTTGATTGTGATTTGATTATTTTGTATGTTAGTCTTGAATAATAATAGGCAATATTTATTGAGAACTTACCATGTTGTATATTATGGTTATCTCAATCCTTATAACTTAAGTAGTGTTAATATAATCTTTTTTTAAAAGATTTATTTATTTATTTATTTGAAAGGCAGAGTTTCAGAGAGGCAGAGAGTGAGGGAGAGAGGTCTTCCATCCACTGGTTCACTCCCCAGATGGCTGCAATGGCCAGAGCTGTGCACATCCAAAGCCAGGAGCCAGGAGCATCTTCCAGATCTCCCATGTTGGTATAGGGGCCCAAGGATTTGGACCTTCTTCTACTGCTTTCCCAGGCCATAGCAGAGAGCTGGATTGAAAGTGGAACAGCCAGGCTCGAACCAGTGCCCATATGGGATGCTGGCACTGCAGACGGCTTTACCTGCTTTGCCACATCGCCAGCCCGATGTACTCTTTATTTTGCTAATAGGAAAACTTGAGGTTTATAGAAGTTAAGCATCGACCCCCATGCAGCTAGTAAATAAAAGCAGAATTTAAAATCAGATTTATATGACTTCAGAGATGTTAGGTTAGCTATTGTGTCTTCCTAGGGGATTCAACTGGCTTGGAGTCTCTGAAGAATATTAACTCACTGGTTGATTAAGCCAAGGCAAGCTCTTTTAGATACTCTTGAGCATATGTGGCTACCTGTTATGATTTGTATAGGATTTGGCTTCCCCAAGTCATGCAGAAGTTTAAACCTCTAAATCTCAATCATTAATGGGTTGCTGGATTAAGGGTGGAGACCTGATCTAATTGTGGTACCTGGGAGGTGGGAGCTGGTAGGAAGTCTTTAGGTCACTGGGGGCTTGCCCCTTGAAGCAAATACTTGAGAGAGTCTTGGCTATGCAGTGTGCTGCCTGCTCTCTGATAATTAGCTTGCCATGTGATCCTCCCTTCACGTGATCCATCTGATGCCAGATGAATGGAGCCGCCTGATCTTGGAATGTGAACCTTCTCCCTTTTAGAAGCTTCTCTCAAGTATTTCAGTTAAAGTATTGAAAAACTGGCTGAAGCTGGCTAATACACTACTGAAAGGAGATGTGAATCTCTACCTTCCTAAACATGTTACTCTTAAAGGCTTAAAGATTATGTTTGAATCTGTATATGGCCTTTCTGGACCTTAGTTTTCCAGTTTGAAAATTGTGAAAGTAATTTATGCAACATCAGGGCTTCATACAAAAATATGAAATATGAATTTATTCATGATTCATGTAAATGTATTTGATGACTATAATGATAATCTGAAATAAATCATACCATTGGCTTTGAAATACAGTTTGAGCATGGTAGATGATTAGTCTAGTGGTTAAGACATCTATGTCCCATATTGGAGTACCTGAGTTTGAGTCCTGGCTTTATTCCAGCTAATGCAGTCCCTGGGAGGGTGGTGACAACTCAAGAAATTGGATGCCTGACAACCTTGTGGGAGACCTGGATTGAATTCCTGTCTCCTAGCTTTGGCCCCAACCATTAAAGGCATTTAGGGAAAGAACCAGGAATGGGAGCTTACTGTTTCCATCTCTCAAATAAAAGCTTAAAAAAAAGTTTATGCTTTTTTTCCTTTCCTTTATTAGCTTAAGTCAAAAGCAATGTTTATATACATTAGGAATATTCCAAGATGTGTAAGTACATACTTTTATAGCAGTTCAATGAATGATAGCTTTTTTTTTTTTAAAGCGCTAGTAGCAAATGATACATAGGGAAACTGACATAGGGAAAAAGTTGCACAGAGGATCAATCATATTTAGTCTATTTTTTCAACCCCACTGTTACAGAATTCCATTCATGGTACCTATGTATCCCTAGAAAAAATGAGTTGTACTGGTCAAACTGTACATAAAGAATATTAGACTTTTTTTTTGACAGGCAGAGTGGACAGTGAGAGAGAGAGAGACAGAGAGAAAGGTCTTCCTTTGCCGTTGGTTCACCCTCCAATGGCTGCCACAGCCAGCATGCTGCGGCCAGCGCATCGTGCTGATCCGAAGCCAGGAGCCAGGTGCTTCTCCTGGTCTCCCATTCGGGTGCAGGGCCCAAGCACTTGGGCCATCTTCCACTGCACTCCCGGGCCACAGCAGAGAGCTGGACAAGAAGAAGAGGGGCAACCGGGACAGAATCCAGCGCCCCAACCGGGATTAGAACCTGTTGTGCCGGCGCCGCAGGCGGAGGATTAGCCTATTGAGCCGCGGCGCTGGCCAGAATATTAGACTATTAACTCACTTGCCACTGGCACTTTTAAAAAATATATTTATTTATAATTATATTTATTTTACAGAGAGAGGAGAGACACAAAGATCTTCCATCTGCTGGTTCACTCCCCAAATGGCTGCAACCAGGTAGAAGCCAAGAGCTTCTTCCAGGTCTCCCTCGTGGCTGCAGGGGCCCAAGCACTTGGGACATTTTCCACTGCTTTCCCAGGCACATTAACAGGGAGCTGGATCCGAAGTGAAACAGCCTGGACTTGACCCAGGGCCCATATGGGATGCCAGTGTGGCAGGTGGTGGCTTCAGCGGCTAAGCTACAATGCCAGCTCCTCTAGAGAGATTATATCGGATGATATGTGTAGATTGCATAGAAATACTATGTCATTTATATAGAGGACTTGAGCACTGGTGGTCTTGGCTACTCAGTGAGCATCCCAGAATCAATCCCTTTCAGATACTGAGGGACAACTGTCCTTATTAGGTCGTTTACTCCTTATGACAACTCAATGAAGTGGATAACTACTTTTGTCCTCACTTTTACAGTTGGGCAGATACACACAGGTTAGGTTACTTCAGAAGATCACATAGGTGGTGGGACTAGAAATCAGATCCAAGCTGTCTGGCTTCAGAATTTGTCACCCTAAAGTTACGTGACGTCTCTGAAAGGGCTCTCAGTACCCTGAGGAAAGTCAGCAAAAAAACAAAAACAAAAACCCAGACTGATGTTGGCACTATACAGGCAATAGATTGGGAAAGGAGTACTGAAAGGAAGTTGCTGGCCTACGGGTGTGTGATAAGTGGCTTCCAAGAAGGTAAACTGGTCAGGACTTACTGAATCTCATATCTGGGAATATCTGAATTCAAGTATTTGGAATGAATATTCCATATAAGTTAGGGAAGTCACCCACTGTCTTTGGGTTTATTCATGATCTAGAAATATAATGTAGCTGAATATACAGATTCTTAGCCTCCTTTGGACTATAATTTTATTTTTATAGAGTTGTAGAATTTACAAAACTCACTTAAATACATGATCTCATTCCAGAACGTATTCTATCTTTTTATAACAAAGGCTCAGAGAAATTAAGTAACTAACTTGACCAAGATTTACACTGGCTTCTTTGCCTTTTTTTTTTTTTTTAAAGTAAAATATCCTTGTCTTATTACGGACAGACTATTCAAACCACCCCCTCTGAAAACAGCAGGTTCTGGCTTTTCCGGGAGCCCCCGAAAGAATACAAATTGGAATCTCCAGAAACAGCTCCGTCTCTGGAGGTGGGAGCCCACATCATGCGTGTCCGTGGGATCTGGGCAGCCTCTGAAGCCACGCAGCCCCCCTTGCCTCCACTCAAGGACTGGCTCTAGTTCACTGGCCCAGAAGGAGACCTCGGTCACTCGACCAGTCATGCCACCTCCATTTCATCCTCCTGCTAAGAATCCAAGCGGCCCCCGCCACTCTGCTGGGTGATTTTCCGACTCTGTCCGGACTATCCCGATAGCCACCGCGTGGCCTACCACAGCCCAGGAGGGTCCTCCAGGCAGCGTCCACTTCTTTCCTGGGAGCTGGCTTCCGCACAAGCTGCCCAAGCCTCTCTACATCTGCATCCCCCGCCTTGGCCTTCCTCTTACGGAGGGGAGTCCCCTTGTTGGGTGGGGTCCGTGGCCAACCCCATCTAGGCCAGGTTCCTGTCAGATGAGGCAGCCCTTATGGACTGTCCAGCATTGAGGGGGGCGGACGCTTCCGGTTGACCTTGTAACCGAACTTCTGCCTCAGGTCCTGCCCTCCTCCTCAGGCGTCGCGCCGCCCCGGGCGCTGGAGCTAACACGCGGCGCCTCTCTCTCTCTCTCTCTCTCTCTCTCTCTCTCTCTCTCTCTCTCGGCCACGCGGATTTCCTAGTGGCAGAGCTGGCCGAGTCCCCCTGCCTGTCTTTAAACAGGCTTTGAGCCCAGAGAATTTATGCTGTGGTTTGAAATTCGTCTTCTCACGTACAGAGGCATTGTCTTTCCTTCGTACGCGGCTAAGGGCTCTAGGGGGGTTCAGGCTCCCAGTGCCCCCATCTTTGCTTCCCGGCGAGGAGAGACCACTGCGAGGGTTCTAGGCGGTGGCCCTCGGAGAAGCAGGCAGGCGCGGATGATCGGGCAGCGCGGCGCGCCGCGCCGGGGAGGCAGGCTCGCAGGCTCGCGTCAGGGCACAAAGTCTGGCCGCATGGAGCCCGCGCAGGGAATGTGAGGCGGGGAGCGTACAACCGAAGGCACTCATTCCGCGGCTGCGAGTCGGCCACAAACCTCGGCCCCCGCCCCCTACCCGTTCCCCAGTCTCGGTGAGGACGGTTTGGGGGCGGGTGGGAAAGCGCGTCCTCGGAGCGCCCTCGCGCTCCCTTTGCAGCTCGCGCGCTCCATCGCCTCTCAGCGGCGGCCGGAGAGGCCGGCGATGGCTGCGGCGAGCGCGGACGAGGAGCCGGGAGGGCGGGTCTTGAGGCAGGTGTCAGATCCGCTCGGCGGGGTTCGGCGGGCCAGCCGGGCCCCCTCGCGCCGCCGGTCGTCGCCCCCCGCCCGCCGCGCCGCCGCGCCAGGAGGGCGGGGCCGGGGCGCGCGCTGGTCCTCTGCACGCGGCGCCTGGGTCTGGGGGAGTGCGGGGCGGTCTTCGCCGGCGCCGCGCGCTGCGTGTGTGCGTGTGTGCGTGTGTGTGTGTGTGAGTGAGTGAGAGAGAGAGGGAGCGAGAGAAAGCTAGAGAGAGAGGGAGCGGGGTCGCGCGCGCGCGCGGCAGGCGAGTGAGGGAACGAGGAGCGGCTGGGTGTGAGTGTGTGGGAGTGAGTGTGTGTGGGAGTGGGGGTGAGAGGGAGCAGGCCGACCGGGAGGCTGGGAGAAAGTGGGCGAGGGTGTGAAGGACGCCCGAGCTGGCAGGGGGAGCCGCGGTGGGCTGCGGAGAAAGGAGGCGGCTCCCGGCATCCCGACCCCCTCCCCCTCCTCTCCTTCTCCGACTTCCAGCCGGCTCGGCGGCCCGCGCTTCCACCGAGGCCCCAGCCCGGCTCCGCTGGCCCAGAGCGAGGGAGGAGCCGCCCGCGCCAGGTAAGCGGTCGGCTCGCTTTTCTCCCCCTGGGGAGGGAAGGGGCGGAGGCGCGCCCCCGGGAGTGGGCGAGTGCGGCCCCGTGGATTCGCCGACAATTGGGGGGGCTCGGCCAGGGCAGGGAACGGGGCCGTGCGCTCTCGGGGCCGGGGCTTGTGAAGGCCGGTGGTCGCCTCGGCTCGGGGCGGCGGGGGGCGACGCAGAACCTGGGCTTGGCTGGCGCCGGGAGGGGTCGGTCGGGCGCTGAGCGTGCGGCCGGGGGGACCGGGGTCGGAGGGAGGCGCGACCTCGGCGTGGAGGGACCGTGGTCGCCCTGGGGGTGGCTTGGGGGTGTGGTAGCCCTGGGAATGAATGCTCGTTGGAGTGGGCGCCGCCGCGGGCCGCCCTCAGGAGCGTGTCGTCTCCACGGCCCCTGCTGCCTCCCTCGGACCTGCCACGGTGTGACCGAGGGAGGACGACAATGTGGCGCTCGCCCTGCACTTACTACGTTTTAAACTCCGTATTTGTCTCCTTACGTGTGAATCGCAGGTAGTGTGACGGCCGTTCCCCCTCTGAATAGGAGGCGACCAAATAATTGCTTGGCGTTGGATAATTCTAAGCGGATGACCGAGATCTGAATACTCCCTCTCGGAGGGGAAAAAAATCCAAACCAGATAATAATAACCGGAGTGTTAGGTTCTTTCTTGGATCACAGACTTGTATTCCTACTATTTTACCCGACTCGTGTTTATGAATAGAGATGGGGCATTCATTCTGTTCTGGTTGTGGGGTTATTACACTAACTCGCCGATTGTAACTTCCATGTAAATGTTTCCGATGTGATATTATTTTCCCATTGATTATAGGTGTGTTCCCACGTCTTCGTAGAGTTGGGTTAAACTCTGAATCTATAGCAAATATTGAGTAGCCTAATATGCAACTATTTTCTTTTATGTGGGCTTGATATATTTATTTACGGACGTTCGTAATTATTAAATTAACATTTAGGTAATTGTTTTGTTCTTTCACAAAACAGAGTAGCCTAAACGTCATTTTAAAAAATGATTTCTTAAAAACAATTTGTCAAAATACTTCCTAAAGATACTCGTGTGGAATAAAACTGAAATTTTGTTAATTGAGGTTGAACATTGATATCCTACCTTTTAATATGTAAAGTTCTAAATTTAAAAACAGTCAAGTGATTTTCTAACAGTTAACTTTGTGTGCTATTTGCCTAGTGTGCCAAAGGGCTAGTCAATTAATCTTACATTTATTAGTGCTATTAATTTTCTTATTTCTTGTCACTGATTGAGTTGTTAGTTTGGCAACATGGCTGTTGACCCCCCCACCCCCACCCCATCTTTTTCTATCTTCTGTTTTTTTGCTTTGTTTTCTCTTACCATACCAGGTTCTGGAGTCCACTTGTCCTGGAAGGGGGCAGTCTGTGATTTTGAGAATAGAGCCAAGAAGGGGAACAGCAAATTCAGTCACATGCCATCCTCCACTCAATCAAGAGCCGCTTTTCTTTTTCTGCCTTAAGGAGCTGAGAATTTAAACCTTTAGCCCGTTGGCTACCAGCTAAAATTTCACTTATCCTAGTTTTACAGTGGATAGCAGCCCCGCCCTGGTTTCCTTAGAGTCCTTGTTGAATACATTCACGTTAAGTGGTAGCATCTGGTAGTGTAATTGGGCCCTTTTTTTCTTTTCCTCTTCTCTTGTTGTCCCCCTTTCCTCTCTAATAGGAAATAACCAGCAAAATCTTATATGCACCAGTCTTCCAGTATTAGTTGTTGGGGTATATGGAGAAACATATATTTTTAAAAACTTCCAATTCTTCCTGTCCTCAGTGTATACCCATCTGTACACATTATGTACCCACATGGGATTAGGTGCTGGTATAAATCATTAGATTTAGTTCTCAAAGTAACATTGGTAGGGGCTGAGGGAAGGAGATAGAGCAGAATGTTTTCCACACCTAAGAAAGCAGCGGTAGCTTTTGTAGTCTTACTTTGGGGAGTAGATGTAGAGACATAAACTGAGTGAAAAATTGAAGAACTTCCGTACCCCCAAGCAGCATGTGAAGAGAGAGAAAACCAAACAAAGAGAATGAGCTTTATTGTAGTTGCTTGCTGACCACTGTTTTGGGGGCACTTTGGTGATATGAATTTCTAGAGACTTTTTTTTTTTTAATTATTTATTTGAAAGGCAGAGTTACAGAGAAGCAGAGGCAGAGAGAGAGCTTCCATCTATTGGTTCACTTCCCAAATGGTTGCAACAGCTGGAGCTGGCTGATCCAAAGCCAGGAGCCAGGAGCTTCTTCCAGGTCTCCCATGCAGGTGCAGGGGCTCAAGGACTTGGGCCATCTTCTACTGCTTTCCCAGGCCATAGCAGAGAGCTGGATCAGAAGAGCAGCAGCTGGGTCTCAACCTGGTGCCCATATGGGATGCCAGCGCTGCAGATGATGGCTTTACCTGCTAAGCCACAGCACAGGTCCCATAAAGAGACAATTTTTATGGTAGGTTAGTTTGTAAAGAGTATCCTGCGCAAGATGTTAAGTCCTAAGCATATGAGAAAGGAACCTTTAGAAATTCTAATTGTTTTAAAATCTCAAAGAGGAGAAAGTTGTGATAGGAACAATGAAAAGAGTATTATTTGAACGTGTCAGCCATGCTGACATGTGCAGTTGTTTTAAGCAAGGTTGAGTAGGGAGATTAGGTACAGATGTTTGGGAAATTGTCTTTCATTACTTGGAATTTTCCTGCTTGTCATATTAAGGATTGTTAAATAATATAGTTCCTCCAAAAAATACCTGTGCATGATGTATTTTGGATTCCTGTGCCTTATTATCTGCAGAAAAGGACCGACTTTCTGGCTTGAAAGTAACCGATGCCATACTGTTTTTTTTTTTAATTATTTATTTATTTTTTTTATTTGACAGAGTTAGTGAGAGAGAGAGACAAAGGTCTTCCTTCCGTTGGTTCACCCCCCAAATGGCCGCTACGGCCGGAGCTACACCGATCTGAAGCCAGGAGACAGGTGCTTCCTCCTGGTCTCCGATGCGGGTGCAGGAGCCCAAGCACTTGGGCCATCCTCCACTGCCCTCCCAGGCCACAGCAGAGAGCTGGACTGAAAGAGGAGCAACCAGGACTAGGACCCGGCGCCCACATGGGGTGCCGGCGCTGCAGGCGGAGGATTAACCAAGTGAGCCATGGCACTGGTGCCTTTTTTTTTTTTTTTAAAGATTTATTTATTTATTTGAAAAAGTTACACAGAGAGAGTAGGAGAGGCAGAGAGTCTTCTATCCTCTGGTTCACTCCCCAATTGGCCGCAACGACCGGAGCTGCACTGATCAGAAGCCAGGAGCTTCTTCCGGATCTTGCCATGTGGGTGCAGGGGCCCAAAGACTTGGGCCATCTTCTAGTGCTTTCCCGGGCCATAGCAGAGAGCTGGATTGGAAGTAGATTGGCCTGGACTTGAACTGGTGCCCATATGGGATGCCTGCACTGCAGGTGGGGGCTTTACCTACTATACCACAGTGCTGGTCCCCATACTGTTATTTTTAATGTGTGTGTTTTTTTTTTTAATATTTTTTCCTCTGAATTGGCTTTGAGGACAAAACCCCACAGCTTGCCAACTCTGTTCCCTTAGAAGCTTGTCTGCATTAATCCCATTTGCTTATATCTTTTTTCTTAATGAAGTTATGTTCTTATTTTTGTCTTTTCTCCTACCTTTAGCTGTTAACAAAGCTCATTCAGGACCAGTTTGATGATGATGGAAAGTAGCATTATGCCTAATTTTTTTTTCTTAAAGAAAAATTGATTTTGACTGCTGCATTTACATCCTATGGGAATACACATTTGCTTGGTATTTAATATTGAGAATAGTTATTTTTTTGATACTCTTTTATAATGCAATTAACATACTCTTAAAATAATTCTTATCACTTAGCTTCTCAATTTGTTATATATCAGGTTCTATATTGCAGGTAAATTTGTTATATATCAGGTTCTATATTGCCTACTGGAGATAACCAGCAGAGTAAGGCCATTTTTTTTTTTTTTTTTAAGATTTATTTGTTTGGTGCCAGTGCTGTGGTGTAGTGGGTAAAACCTACAGAGCCAGCATAGCATATGGGTACCGGTTCATGCTCCGCTTCTGATCCATCACTCTGCTATGATCTGGAAAACCAGTAGAAGATGGCTGAAGTGCTTGGGACCCTACACTCTTGTGGGAGACCTAGAAGAAGCTCCTAGCTTCCGGCTTTAGACTGGCCCAGCTGCGGCCATTGTGGCCATTTGGAGAGTGAACAAGTGGATGGAAGGTTCTTCTCTTTCCCTCTGCCTTTCTGTAATTTTGCCTTTCAAATAAACAAATAAATCTTAAGAAAAAGATTTGTTTATTTGAGCAGCAGAGTTAGAGAGGGAGATACAGAGAGATCTCCAATCTGCTGGTTCACTCCCTAAGTGGCTTCAACAAACTTTTTCCGAGTCTCCCACGGGGGTGGAGAGACCCAAGCACTTGGACCATTTTCCACTGCTTTCCCATGTCATTATCAGGGCGCTGGATCAGAAGTGGAGCAGCCGGGACTTGAACCGGTGCCCATGTAGGATCCAGAGGCAAAGACTTAACCTACTATGCCACAGCACAAGCCAGTTCTCTCAGTAGTATCTGAGAGAGTCTACTAAATTTTCATGAAATGTTTACCAATTTGTGAATTGATGAGTTGGGAAAACAAAAATCTATTTAAATAGTTATATCACTGATGACATTTTACTACCTTTATTCCCCCGAAACATGTAGTACATCAAGTTGTGACAAAAAAAAATTCAAAACTACTATTCCCTTAGAAAATATTTTTACGAAGTATTCGGTTTCTCACAGTTTTTTTTTTTTTTCTTTACCTGCTGATACTGGCTTCATGTTCCTCTAAATTTAGAAGATCTCAAAGGGAACATGGAATTGCTATGTAAGATCAGGCTACATCTCTTTTTTTTACTCTGCTTTCCCATTTTGGGCAACATTT